TTTTATGTGTGAAAACGTTTGTTTCGTCGAAGAGGTAGAGAGCATTCCAAACTTTTGAGTGGGAGTGTACAAATCATATTCAGAGCTTCGAGATATTAACCCACATTCCACCAATTGGCAACGATATGAAGAAAATAGGCGAGATCTTCAATGGAAGTTTCGTTTTCGGCGACAATTCTATTTTATAATCCTTTAACAGAGTAGCTAGACAAGCTTTCATCTGCAACAAAGCCATCCTCATTCCCACACACATCCTCGGTCCGTCACCAAAAGGTAGGAAAGCATATTTCTCATTGTTCTTTTTCCCCTCTTCGCTGAATCGTTCCGGATTGAAGGTCTCCGGATCAGGCCAATATTTCGGATCTCTCTGCAGTGCGTAAGCGGGTATAATAATTTCAGTACCCGGTTTCGCATGATATTTCAGTCCATCGGATCCCTCCAAATGGAACTCTTCGGTGCACAATTTATTCATCGTACCTATTCCTACAGAACATCTCTGCGATTCACTGATCACTTGCTCCATGTACGTCATCTCCTTCAGTCCTTCGTACGTTAATACACCACCGTGTTTCTCGATCACTGTCTTTACCTCGTTTCTCACTCTATCTTGAATGTCTTGATGAGTGGCTAAGTGATACCCAATGTATAACAATGCGATACTCGAGGATTGATATCCGTCCATATAAAACGAGAACGCGTGTGCCGCGACAGTCTCCAAATCCAGCTCCTCGCCTGATTTCTCGAGGTCCATCATTAACTGTAGGAAATCATTTCTAGGTGCCGATTTTTTTCGCCTAGTCTCCAAATTTTTCTGGGCTACCATTTTAAATAATATCTCCAACTCTTTGGTGACGAACTTGACTCTTACCAAGCGATTCCATTCCGGAAAGAAGAACAAGAATGTCATAAAAAATCCTTCGATTAAGTTCGGCACGAACAGTGAATGACTCAACTGATCGAACGCCATGGAGTTGTCCGCATCCTCGAAATCCTCGAAGCAGAACCCTAGAATGCCCAATCCAGCGTTCGCGACAACTTCGCCGGTGAATTTTGAGAACAGATGTTTCAGTTCAACTTCGAACTTGCCGTTCAAACTCAATCGCCTGTTCAGGTAATCTTGAAATTTCTTGCATACTCCGTC